TCGTTGGCGCAAAATGCAGCATGTCGCATATTACGTCGGTTGCCACCGGGCCGCGCCGACGGACGCTAGTCGCGCTGGTCGCGTTTCGCTAGCGTGGATGGTGGTGGTGGTGGTAAAAAACATTTATTTCAGAAAAAGTATACTAGAGAGTGCTGACGTGGCCCATCGGCGTGCTAGAGTGGCAAGACCCTATTCCGGGACGCCAGGGACGCCAGTGGAGCTGGAAGCTGCCCGTGCGCGCTCCACCAAGGAGCGTTGTGCAGCCAAGGTAGAGCAGCCGAGCAGGTGCTCCTCCCAAGCGTGGAGTCGCTGCGCCCAGTCTGCGCGGGCGTCTACGTTGTGTCGGTGTCGGCCCTTCATGACGCGCTCGCCACTGTTTTGCTAGCTCCACGTGTGCCAAATTTGCTATCACGGGAAGCGAATAGACAACGAAGGTAAATGACACGTCCAATCCTGATAATCGTATTTTGCGTTTCACGTAAAACATGGCTACCTGCTATGCTCATTAGCGGTCTCGCAACCGTTTCACTAGTTCCACATATACAAAATTTGCCATTACGTGACGTGAATGGATGACGAAGGTAAATGAGACGTCCAAACATGATAATCACGATATGGATGCCATGTAAAACATGACGACATGCTACGCTCATAGCACGCTCGTGGCCGTTTCGCTACCTTCATATGTACTAAAATTGGTATCAGGTGACAGGTGACGTTAATAGATCACGAAAGTAAACGAAACGTCCAAACTTGATAATCATGACATGGAAGTCATGCACGGCATAACTTACCTCCGCCTCGTAATGGTGTGCCGATTTTGAAGTGACCTATCAATCTTCCTCATTCGTGTTTCGCATATCATTGATTCCCATTGTGCGTGGGTTTTGCCATTTTTTTTTTTTTTCGGAGCAGATCGAAAGACACTCGACCGCAGGAAGGGGAATACCTTCGCACGTTCTCAGCTCAAAGCTACTAAATTACCCTGTGGCGTTCCTGAGGCACGCGCTGTTAGGTAAAGGCATGGATACATGCGTAGGTTGCCTCGTTATTTTGTACGCGCAACCTTGGCGTTTGACGACATTTTAAATAAGTGCGTGTCCAGTATACCGGTGTTATGGGCATCTTTACAATACATTTACAAAAAAAAAAACATGTCGGACTATTAAAAGAGGCGCGCCTGTAGTTATTTACAGTGAAAGCTGTTGTGAGATCTCAACAGCCGATTTCGGGGGTGCAGTCGCCCACCGCTGGTGTCAGTAACCGCTATTATGCACAATGAGAAAAACCAAATATCCGTATTGGTGAGCGAGATACGACCCTGGACCCTCCTCGTGGCGGTCTTGTATTCTGCCACAGAGCTATTGCGGTGCTTGTGAAGCCCAAACTCCATAAGCGCGAAAATGCACGCGACAGCGACGAGCGACGCTATGAGCGACGAAACAGGGCGTTCGCGCGACGTGTCGCGGGGTAGTTTTCGCGCGATCGCTCGGTTCTCCAGATTTGGAAACCGTCGCTCATCGCCCGGAAGTGCTGGGCTCAAGCAGCCAATAGCGAAAAACCGGAAAAGACGAAGACTACATAGATGCACGTGACCCTGCCCGAGTCACGTATGCGCAACAAGAAATAACGCAATGTTTATTACGCATGCGCATATAAAAAATGCTGCAAGGCAATAATAAACACTTTCCGTTTCATTACACAACAATATATTTTATTTTTAAATTGGAAACCGCTCTCTACGCGGTTTTCTTGGTGCGAGTTGACGGCCTCATGCCAGCAACAGTGGAATTCGCTCGCCGAAGCCGTCGCGTGAATGAGGTTTGCCTGCGCTAGCGACTGATCGCGCGACGCCGATCTACGTCGCGTCGCTCGTCGCTGTCGCGTGCATTTTCGCGCTTATGGAGTTTGGGCTTGACTGATTTACTTTGTCGAGCGCCGATTTTTTTATTGTACTGAAACTATGAGGGCGGCCGGGGCCGCATTCTTTTGAAGAAGTCGAATTCACTATTAAGACATATTTCGCACCCCATCACTTTGTTTCCACTTTGCTTGTTTGATCGAAGAAGAAATTTTAGCGCCAACCGCAAAAAACCGGGGTGCCCCCGCCCTTCACTTCTGTAGGAGATGCACGCCCGCTCGTTACCGCTCAAAGGTAAAATGTGTACTCTTTGACTGCTCAAGTAAAACGCCTACTGAAGTAAAGAGGTTTAAGTTTCGTGACCAATATACAGTGTTGGGCAGATAATTTACGCTAGAACATGCGGAAAAATTGATAGGAACGATTGAGTTTCCCGTCTGAAACCAGAGATTAAGCGGGTATCTGCATAAGCTTAGTCTTCGGTCAAACCAGCACACACCGTGGACGGTTAATGTTGTTTAGCACGGATCTCGAAATCGTTGAACACTTTTTCTAAATACATGAGATCATGTCATTGCATATATTGTAACTTTATACTATTCATCGAATTCTGATATCGCATTCAGTTCTTGTAAACATGTATGCCAACATTGTCGTCTATATGAGAGCAATGATGCCAACATTGATGGCAATGATGATGCCAATGGTGAACAATGATGCCACCAACATGACTGCATGCCACACTCATGATGTGCTCGCAGCCGTTTCGCTAGCTTGGAATATACCAAATTTGATATTACGGGACTTGAATGGATGACGAAGGTATGTGACTGGTGCAAACATGATAACCACGACATTCGTGTCATGTAACAACATGACTACATGCCACGCTCATGATGCGCTCTGGGGCCATTTCGCTGGCTTCACAGTATCAAATTTGATATTACGGAACGCGAATGGATGACGAGGGTATGTGACTGGTACAAATTTGGTAATCACTGCGTGTCATGTAAAAACATCACTACAGCCCACACTGATGGTGCGTTCGTGGCCGATTCGCTAGTTTCACATATGTCAAATTTGGTATTACATCACATGAATGGGTGGCGAAGGTATGTGACTGGTGCAAACTTCATAATGGTGAGATGCGTGTCATGTGAGAACATGACTACATGTCACACTCAAGGCGCTTATACACTTCGACGTGACCCGGTGCACGTGCGCATCGGCGTTTATTTCGTCACGTCACGCCGGCAGTTGCCACGCCAGGCTGCCGATTCTCCCTAGTGGAGATCAGTGGATCTGCCTGCCATATACTCGCAGGCATGCGCTGTGTTGCTTTGACGCATGCGCGTTTGAGTGCACACGGCGTCCCTCTGCCACGAAGAGAAGCAGACGCGATGCTAAGTAACATCGTTGGCGCGAAATGCAGCATGTCGCATATTACGCCGGCTTGCCACCGGGCCGCGCCGACGGACGCCGGTCGCGCCGGTCGCGTTTCGCTAGCGTGGAGTCGCTGCGCCCAGTCTGCGCGGGCGTCTACGTTGCGTCGGTGTATATTGGGGCCCTTCATGACGCGCTCGCCGCTGTTTTCGCTAGCTCAACGTGTGCCAAATTTGGTATCACGGGAAGTGAATAGACAACGAAGGTAAATGACGCGTCCAATCCTGATAATCGTAATTTGCGTTTCATGTAAAACATGACTACCTGCTATGCTCATAGCGTTCTCGCAGCTGTTTCACTAGTTCCACATATACAAAATTTGCCATTACGCGACGTGAATGGACGACGAAGCTAAATGAGACGTCCAAACAAGGTAATCACGATATGGATGCCATGTAAAACATGACGACATGCTACGGTCATAGCACACTCGCTGCCGTTTCGCTACCTTCATATATACCAAAGTTAGTATTAGTTGACAGGTGACGTTAATAGATGACGAAAGTAAATAAAACGTCCAAATTTGATAATCATGACATGGAAGTCATGTACGGCATAACTTACTTCTGTCTCGTAATGTTGTGCTGATTTTGAAGTGACTTATCAACCTTCCTCATTCGTGTTTCGCATATCATCGATTCCCACTGTACGTGGGATGTGCAAATTTTTTCTTAACATGCGTTGGTCCAAAGAGGCTTCTTTAAACTGGAACAGCTTATTGCTCTCCCAAAGTAGAGCTCGTCGTACTGTACATTGTCGAACATTTGTTTGTAACATAGGCTGGTGAAGTTTGGCATAATGTTCTTGGGACGGCTTACGCCTCTCTCGTAGTAGAATACATCGTACCCTAACTTCTTTAACCTGTTTCCAAACGCACTTCTCACGGGTCGCCTTAGGGCGCTCCCATTGTAGAGTATAAAGTATTAAACAGTATAAAAGTATATAAGTATAAGTATATAAAGTATAAGTATTGGACAATTTTTAAACACATAACATCAATCAATGTATGGATAGCTCAATGCTCTCCTATAGTTGAGTAAAAGGTCGTTAAACACTTTTTTGAGCAGGCCATAAAAGTTGTGGGACAACTTTCTGCTCTCCCATAGTAGAGTACCAGTACCCTCAATTGTTGAACACTTTTTCTAAACACACAGGCTTTCGCTTGAAACTGGGACAGCTAATTGCTCTTCTATAGTAGAGAACATCATACCCTAAATTGTTTAAGGTTTGTTTTAAGCACTCATTTAATTGGTTTTTGGGAATGGCTCTAAGCTATCCCATAGTAGAGTACTATGTAGTCTAAATCGTTGAACACTTTCTTTTACACACAAATGCATTTGTTGTTTGCTCAGTCGGGGATGCCTCGATAGTTGAGTACGGAGTACTCAAGATTGTTAAACACTTTTTCTAAACGCAGTGTATATGGTCATTCACTTTTCGTTTCACACGGTTTTATGATTGTTCCAGCTGAACTCGGACTCTTGTTCGATAACTGGGCTGAAGTATGTCAGTTGTCACAGCTTACTATTGTTCCGCAAACCGGTTTTTGACAGTGTTGATGCATCACGTCTTTTTCAGTTAGCAAGCAGCAGAAACTTTACAAATAAGCCCATTTCTCCTGCTGCTTCATTTTATCAACTGACAGGCTCGCATTCCTGTGCAATATGGGTAGTCGTGAACTATGTTTATTTTGCAGGTATGGAGAGCCACGAACAGTCGTATTGCAAAGGAGCAAGAAGGGCTTCGGGTTTGTCCTCAGAGGAGCCAAAGGTGAGATTTTCATCATCAACATCAACAGTTACCTGCGTTGGAGCTGTACTGCATTCTGGTTCGATCATGGCTATGATGATCGTCCTTCAATGGAAACGAAATGCTAAAAGCCCGTGTACTGCGCCATGTCAGTACACGGTAAAAAAAACACTGGATGGCCAAACTTTTCGGAGCCTTCCACTATACAAAGTCCCTCATATTCATATGGTGGTTCTGGGAGGTTAAACCCAAACTCCATTACCATACCGCATCACGCATTCTCTCCATTTGTGTCCCACCCCGGTAATCTAGTGGCTAAGGTACTCTGCTGCTGACCTGCAGGTTGCGGGATGGAATCCCGGCTTCGTGGCTGCATTTTCGATGAAGGCAAAAATGCTATATGCCCGTGTGCTCAGATTTGGGTGCACGTTAAAGAACCCCAGGTGGTCTAAATTTTCGGAGCTCTCCACTACGGCGTCTCTCATATTCATAAGCTGGTTTAGAGACGTTAAACCCCACGTATCAATCAATTATTTCTTTCCATTTGTCATCATTAACAGAACATTCATAGTGATGACCCCCGGGGAAAAAGTTCTTGCCATATCATCCATTGATGCCGTCGGCTTACCTAATTGTTTAAAAGGCCTACTTCATCTGATAAAGTGAAACTTAGGTTATGCGTGTTGTAACTTTCTCACAGAGAGAGACGCACTCGTGGGACCTCTTTATAAAGTCACACACACGAAGTAGAAACACATACCAGTGTCTTTGAACACACGCATCCAATCACAAACACACATATACACGACAAACAAACAAGTCCACCATTCCCAATTGCGGCGCCGTCCTTAACGCGAGGCTGTTCACTATCAAATGCAACGTGCGTTCGATGCAACGCCGTAGAGCGCTGGATGCAACTATAGTGTTTTATACAATAATACCTTGAGGGGAATCTGCCGCTAATGTCTACGCGGGCTGTGTCAGTGGCGCTTGTATCCCCATGGGAATTATGGGAAGTACAGGCTTCGGATCCGGTTCGGATGGATTACGTTCTTGCAATTTGCGACGCTTCTTTTTTTAGTGTAAAACAAAGCGATATGAACCTATATTTATATAAAATTTGCTTAATTAAGTTGTGTGTAAACTCTACTTTAAAACGTTTTCGTGACCAGGTGGCAAAAGTGAAACCTGGGCAAATTTACCCAACAGTGTATTCATTGCTCTGTCATTGCGTTCCAGATTCGGTATCAATATTTATACAACTATTTTTTTACAACACTTGAAAACAAGCATGCGTGTTTTTTTTTACGGAAGTAAGCATTATTTATTTATGGAAACAACAACACAGTATTAGGTGAGATGCACTTATTGTTTCGTCTTCTGCAACGCTAGGTGCGTCTGTCTCAGTGATCTCAGTGGTCTGCCCCCAACGAACCTGTGGTTTCGTTGTGAAGTCGTGTCAGCGGAGCGTGACAGTGTGTCTAATTAGCCTCGTTATCGTTTTGTGGTTAATTTAAAACAAGTTTAGGCAAGGCGCACTCGTGATAAACATGAAATCTAGGTAATATTCTGCTCTGGCATGAGACGCTACATCTAGGCGCTGCAGTAAATGGGCGACGCTTAATTTAAACTGACAAATACGACTACTAAAGCCCCAACATCACAGCAAATCAGGGGATCTATAGTCGGCTACTTCCTAAGAATAACGACGTGCTCCACCCCTGTGATGCTGCACGCCTGTCATTCGTCTCTGCAGCAGAGCAATGATTGGCTATTTTCTTTGAAACTATAACCACATTTTTGCTAATAATGCAAGTACTGTACATACCATAGGTTAAAGGTCCTTTGTTCCTTGTTAGAAGGTTACGTTTCGCAGAGTACTGAATTCCAAATTTTTGATGAAATTTGCAGAGAAGTAAGATGTTTCCACCGTGAACTAGCTAAAGGAACACGAGCCTGTACGAACAAGTGATATGACTGAAGTCTGTAACATCTGCCTCATGCCACGTAAAAATCCAACGTCAGTTTCTACAGTGGTGTCAAAGACAGGCACACTGTCTGAAAGTTCTGCGTCTGGGACGGCTTTAAGCTCTCCCATAGTAGAGTACCCTGTGCTCTAAATCGTTACCCCCTTTTTCTAACCCCCCCCCCCCCCCAGTGCTTTCTTCATAACACAGCAACTGTTTTCTTTTTCGTGCATTATGGAGGACGGCCCAGTGCTCTCCCATAGTTGAGTACGAAGTACTCGAAATCGTTAAAAAAATTTTCTAAAGACATCCAAATTAACGGTATGGAGTGCCGTCATTTCTCTAAACCCCCCCCCCCCCCCCCCCATAGCCAAATAATTTCGGACGGCTCAGTGCTCTCCCATAGTTTAGTACGAAGTACTCGAAATCGTTAAACATTTTTCCTAAACACAAATTTTCGATTCTTGAGATGGCCGACTGTTGTGTGTGAGACCCACAGGATGGCTTTCGGCTGTCCTATAGTAAAGTACCTGCTGCTTTAAATCGTTACCCTCTTTTTCTTCACTCACAGGCCGTTGAAGATTCCTCCGTACGGCTTACTGCTCTTCCATAGTTGAGTACCAAGTACTCGAAATCGTTCATCACTTTTTTCTAAACACACTTATGCGAATTCCGCATGGAGGGGACGGTGACCGCTGTGAGCGGAGCTGACATTTATTCTTATGCTGTAACCGTCTATAGTGGTCGTCAGCCTCTTAGAACAACACAGGCACTACTTCAGCTTTTTTCACCGCACCCCACTAACCGCGCTATGTGAAGAATGAAACGGAAACTACAGAAAAAAGTCTGTATACAATTCGCTAGCTAACACTATCCTACCCGAAGACTGTACTTCCCATAATTCTCTCAAATCTGCACGATCACAGCTCTAGATTCTTTCTAGATATTATTGTATGAAACTTTATGGATGCAATAATGCGCAGTGTGCATGTTGCACCCACAGGTCATATTTGATCATTATGCAGCTGGTGCTTCATAACCATAGTTGATATTGCTCTAGTAAACCCACCTAACTGTGACCTAATGTCTGACTGTCAATCCACCTGTAAGCCATAACATGCACCTCCACCTATTTTTGACTGACGCGAAGTTTCTAAAGGGAATTATTTGGTATGGCAAAAATGCACCACAACTTCACAAATTCACCCCGATGGGTGAAATATCAAACGAAAGTACTCATTTTTTGAGCTGGTGGAAACAATCTTCCAAGCAGTGTTCCGAAATTGGTGGCTCTACTCTATTCCATCCAATTGCATTTCAGGGAATTCAAAATTGGCGCTATTCTATTCTTTCACTTCTTCAGAATGAAAAGAGCGCCCATTCCTACTGCAGGAATGACCCGCCGGCAGTTCAATTTCATTCCTGTATTTCCTCAACATAGAAAAACCATCTTAGGAGTTTAATCGAGTTCAGAATGAACGCCTCATAAATCTGATACCAGATGCATTAAGAACTGCAAAAATGCGTAAAACACGTTACCAAGGTCTAGAGATAGTAGCTTGGTCAGATCTCGCGCAATGCAACTATACTACTCATCTCCACAGGGGTTGTTCTTCCGCTATTTATAGTATTTGCATGGTCGGCATGTTTCAACAAATGATGATGTTTAATATTGTTTATGTTAATAGTGTTAATGCTAAAATGAAGCCACAGCATAGTGCTGTCAAAAGAAATGTTCAATATGAGTATAGAGACAAACGTCGGAGCAACGTGGTGTAGACGCGTTACTTATAGATGAACAGTGCTTGCAAGCTGCCAATTCATTTTAAGAGAACTGCTTTATTTTAAAGCTCGCTGCTCCAACTTATTACTTACGTGAAGTTTCAAAAAAAAAATCACGTAGGCGGAAACGTCCTCTGTTATTGGAACAAGGACGTCATTCTATCCGATTACATTCTGTGAATAGGGGCTTTATTGTATTCCCATTCCAATCCTCCAAGCTTTGTCTCTATTCCATTCCGGGATCACGGAAGTATGGAATGAATTCCGCACTCATTCCAATTCTGGAGTGGCAACCCCTCAACACTGCCTCCAAGCATATCAAGTTTTCCTAGTGTTGAGTCTGAAAGCGGACATCGGATACTTCCTTATTACACAATATGATGCAAGTATATGACGTAGGTAGTGCTCTTTTATCTATCCCTTTGTAGAATGCGGCTGCAACAGGAAACACAAAGACGAATTACCACAAATGTCGCAAGAAGCCTCACGGCTCAAGGCTACCTGGAATGCAGCGACAAATTCAGTGATAATGTTGATAATACCTAGACGTTGAAACATCTCAATCTCAAGATCAGATTTCCCATTTAAGTGAACATAGCAATGAGGGCTTAGAGTGTTCTGGATACTTAGCCTTCAATGACGCCTTTATGCCGGACCACTTTGTGTGAAGTTACCTGAACAGACGTTAGTTAAGGTTACAATGTTTATGTCTTATAGTTTGTTAAACAATCACCTTGCAATACTTCTTGCGGATCTTCAATGAGGGAAACTGTTGGTAATAAATGTGGCGAATGTCATTCCTTGCAGCCACGAGTCCGCTGATGGAGCAACGGCTGCCCACGGAAAACTGGCCGAGCTTACAGTATTTGGATGACGTGGACGTAGGTGGAGTCGCGGACCTTGCCGGCCTCAAGAGAGGGGACTTCTTGCTCGAGGTGAATGGCAGTCTGCAGAACTTGCCAAATACAAAAACATCGCTTCGTGACCTCGTACATGCATATAGTTATATACAAAAAACTAACAATTAAAGAAAGACCTCTGATGAAACAAAAAACAAGCTTTTTTTTGTGCATTCTCTGGGCCTTCTTTCGTGGTCATGCGTTTTTCTTGTGTTTCAATGATGGCGTCGTCAGCAAAATTCATTTGTCGTGTTTCTTTCCTTCAGTCATCGAAATGACTGTTGTTGTTATTGGCGGATGCGAAATGGAAATGCAACGGAATGAGCTTAGGTTATCATGCGCATTTGGGCCTTCTAAATGCCGCTCTGCAACTTCATCCCTGAACCAATACACTTCTTTTTATGTCTGTGCAGATCAATGGACAGGACGTCTCGCAAGCGACCCACGAGTGCGTGGTCAACATTATCCTGCAGCAGGGTGACCTGATTGCCATGACGGTGCTCACTGTTGCTGGCCCCGTTCCTCCAGGACTAGCGTTCTCCCAGGGAGGCTCTTCGTCCTCCGCACCTTCGTCCGCACCGGGCTCGGAGGCCGGCAGCGTGCCTGCGGCAGGCAGCAGCGTGACGCCCCCGATGCTGCAGGCCAACGGCGCCATTGCCGGCGCCTACCGGCAATGCGCCACGTTACCGCGCAAGCTGTCAGCCAAAAAGGCCCCAGCCCCTCCCAAGAGGGACCCCAAGACGACACTCTCCGTGGGAAGGGCTAGGGCGAAGTCCATGGTCGCAGGGCTCACTGACATCGGTTCGTAGCTTCATGCTATGGAGATTTCTAAAAGGCCTCAATTGCATTGAGAAGGAAAACACCAGGTCAAGCTGTAGATTAAAAGATTTCCCTATTGCAGAAATAGATTACAATGAGGGATTGAAATGAGTGGTTAAACATTTTTATTGTCCCAGGCAAGACCAGTTCATACGGGTCCACAGGATTTTTCTTCCATTAGCATCTGCCTCACTTCTGTGTACTAAGCTGTAGTGTGCTATGCTAAGTGGCTATTGTACATAGGCACCACCTCTTCATGTCCCCATCATCATCCTTCATTCGTCTTTCTTTCTCCCTTCTCCTGTGTAGAATAGCACGCTGGAATGCACTAGCTCAGGCCAGCCTCTCTGCCTTCTCATCTCACTCTCTCTTTGTGGGCTCAATGTAGTTGATATTACTGGTTATTAATTTGACTACCAGTTCGCGAAATTTTGGGTTTTGTTTGGCTTGGTTGTTATCGAAGTACTTAAGCGTAAGCACGTTCCATCATAACGTTATAATCATACCATTCAATCTGAACTTATGATGCAATTTATATGGTATAAGCCACAGCTAACTGCAGCAATTGAAGTGCAGGACGGGAATATGCATGCGTCCTCACATCAGGTGAAATTCAACCAAAGAGTATAGACGACAGTAGGGGAGAAAGTCGAGAGCATGACAAGTACGAAACCTCACAGTGTCGCACTAGATGTTGTTCTTGAGAGGGCCTGCAGCATCGTCTTAGATATTATGCATGACATTATGCATGACCTCTTTCCAGGTGTGTCTGAACCCACTGCAAAGAACCACTCTTTCAGTTCCTAATACTAACCTTCTCACTTTACTTTCGTGTTCACACAGAAGTCCTGGACCGGACGCTGAACTGAGTACGACTCAGAAGGCCGCTCTACCAAGAGTAGTTCAATCGAAAGCATCCCGAAACAGAACGGCACTTCTCGGCACCCGCCGCCTCCAGCAGCGCAAGTGCGTCCGCGACTGCGACGGCAGCAGCGACGGCGGGCACCGAAGGAACCAAAACGGCCTCGATCCGCAGCCGACCCGTCCGCATGACGGCCGCCGAACTCGAAGAGTTCCTCACGCGCCAGAGCGCCGAGCGCAAGCCGCGCGTGTTCGGCAGCGTCGCCGCGATGAAGCGGGCCGCCCGCGGAGCGGGCCCTACCATCCTCAAGGACTTCAACAGTGAACCCGAACTTAACGCAGCTGAGACGGACCTGGCCCGGCGAAGGAGCAGGAGTCAGGAAAACCTGGCCATCTACGGGGAGTCCTGGAAGAAAATGGAGGAGATATGGAAGAAGCCAACGACACGTATATACGCTGAGACAACGGCGATGGCCGCTGCAAAGCAGCCGCTGCCAGCGCCCAGTGTCAGCTCCAGCGCTTCAACACCAGCTGCGGCAGTCACAGCTCCGGTGTCGGCATGAGCAAGCTAGTCAGAGCTCGCGGAAACCACCGCCGAGTCACCCTCCTCCGCCGCCGCCAGTGGGCCAGGTGCTCAAAGTCGACGTGTCGAACGCGATGGGCGATTACGCCAACGTGGACGGTATTCCGGACTCTAAGGTTATGTCTAGCTTCAGGCCGGGAGACAGTGCCAAGCTGTACGCATCTCCTGAGTCCCTGACGCACGTAGCCTACAAGACGAGCGCCGAGGCCCGCAGTGCAGGGGCGTCCCGGCAGAACACCGGCACCACCGGGGTCCGGAACCCGCTCCCAGTCGCTACCGCCCCGGATCCAGAACAGAGAAGCGTCGGAGACGCGCGAAACTGTAGTCTACTCCACGTTCAGAGTCGTACAGCCCACACCAGAGACGGGGACTGCGAGGGCAGCAGCCAAGGGCAAGAAAGTCAGAGGCCCCGCGTCCGTTCAAGAGGAACCGCCACCGCCTCCTGAGAAACCGCCGTACATTCCCGAGCCCGACTACGACAGCACGGACGAAGAAGACGAGCAGATCACCAGGAAGCTTAAGTCGGGAGACATGGGTACGTTCAAGGCATCGTCCGGAGGCTCAAGACGGGACGAGGCGCCACCGCCGCCTGAGAGAGCTCCTACGACGACCACTACTATGACGACTGCAGTGCGTCACGATTCAGATCCGAAAGTGATCGCAACCAAGAGTCACACGCTTGAGCCCCGCTCATCCAGGGCCCAGGAAACGATCATTCACATCAAGAGGGACCCACTCGAGTCCGAAAAGTTGGTTCTCGAGGTCTCCGCCGGCTCCGTGCGCGACAACATCAGCGCATTCGAGAAACGGAGCGCCGGCAGCAACACAGCGCCGAGGCCCACGAAGCACGCTGGGTCCAGGGACCACCATCACCACCTTCATGATGAGCCGGAGAACAGTTCCAGCGGCGTGTCGTCAGATGTCGAGGTGGAAAGACAGGAGCTGCGGTCGTACGATCAGGCAGCCCTGTCGAAGCGACTCAGCGCATACTACCTCCAACGACGGCAGTCCGCCGAGAACCTGGTCCCGATAACGACAACCGCCGCAACCGCTGCGCCTGTGGTTCCGAACCTCGACACGCACCTGAACCAGAGGAACATGATTGGGAGGCATCAACAAATGGTTCCACCGGTCTCTTCATCAACAGCAGTCCATGGCTGCAGTGGCGTCTTCTATAGCGTCCAGCAACCAGGCCATGAGAAGACCGCAGGCTGCCGACAACAAAGCAGTTTTAGGTGGCATTCCCAAGAAGACGCTCAAGATTCGGCTGGACCAGAAGGTTCACGCGACGAGGAAGACAGAAGGAGCACCGCGTGCGACTGACACAGCCACAGACGGCTCGAGCCTCAAACGCAGCATCGACGAGAGCCTGGACTTTATCAGGCTTCAAATCGACTCGCTGGGTCTCTCATCCGTCAACGAGGCGGACATGCTCACAGAACTGGTTCCTCCGCCACCCGAGTTCTCGCACGGAGTGCGACCTCAACAGGCTGAGCCCATCGCGCCGCCGCCGCCCGAGTTTTCCGACGAGTACCACCGCCGCTTCGACCACCACCACCAACAGGTGCCACCGCACCACCACCAGCCGCAGCAGCTACCGCAGCACCAGCCGCAGTCGCAGCAGCTGGCTCGCCACCAGGCCGCGCTGTACCACCAGCTGAACCAGCCGCAACAGCAGCAGCACCTGCCGGCAGCGTACTGCCGCTACAACGGCTCTCCGCAGCACCACCATTCAGCCACGCTGCGGCCCACCAGTTCAGCGCATCATCAGCCGCGACCCACGGTGCACGATGTCTACCGTCCCGGCTACGGGACCCTGGGCCGGCGCACGGATCCTCAGGTACTCGTCGTCCCCATCGAGCGGCAAGCGGGAGACTTGGCCCGTTTGAAGTCGGTCCAGCGGGAATTCAGGCAGAAGCCCCTGGTCGAGTGGAGTGCCCGCGACGTGAGTGATTGGCTGGAGTCCCTCTTCCTCCAGGAGTACAGGCCGCGATTCGTCGAAGCCGGCATCACCGGAGTGAAGCTGGCTAACATGGACTCCAACGACTTTATGGGGCTTGGGGTGAAACAGGTTGGCCACAGGGTCAACATGGAGCGCTCGCTGAGGCGCTACATGAAGTAGGCATTCCTTCGTACCTGTCGAACACAATTAGCTTGCCGGAATGGCTCGTAGATAACTTCAGGGTTGGAGCCGTTTGGTTTGTCATTCGACTACGTTTTGGGTGTCATGCGAAGTACAAGGATCAGATAAGTGGATGGAAAGAGCACACTGTCAAGGGTTTCCATAATCAGCTTTTGATCAGCTCTGTGGGGTGTGATTTTATGATAGGTAAATTGGGCAAGGTCACATGAATAGGTGCTCATAAACTTTTATTTTCCTTTACAAGACTTACCCAGCATTCTCAAAGTCCTTGGTTTCAGACCGAGTGATTGAATTAGAAGGTCGTTACGAAGTAGTGGTGTTGTATCAACGCCACCGTACATGCTGTCACATTGGCATTGCATCCTTGTACTTCGCCAGCACTCTGTATAGGGAATTGATTGCTTTTTAACCCATTAACATCGCCACGCAGGAATGGCTTATTGTGTTACAAACACCGCAAGCTGAATCATACCCGCAGAGGGTGTTGCTGGGGTGGCAACTACAAACGTTCAGCGGTGCTTAGATGTGCCGAACTAGAATTTGCTCTTTGAGGGCTTATGAAAGCGTTCCCTGCCAATGACGCGACTCAAGCGACTAATTTATTTTCCCCTGTGGGCTTGTACAGTTGCCTGCAATACAAAGCGGAACGGATAGGGCACAGCACTCCGAACTCCGCAGAGTGCTTTCCTTTGATGCGTCTGGTTGCAAGCACATTTCCCCTTCAATTCAGTGATGATGGAAGAGCAAGTTCAATACCTGCCCTTGTTCCTATTTATATTGCGGCCAACTGAATGCGAGGTAGTAGTCCGTATACCTGGCACCAGTGCCGTAGTTTTGTAAATATGATGTAAGCTTTATCATAATATTTGCTTCTGTCTGGCGTTGCTGAATGACTTTCGTTTCGCTTACATGTAAAATGAGTTTCTTTGTGGTGTGCCAATCTGTTTCACGATTTTATCTTGGAGTAATTTATCTCTAATATATTACCTTTATTGTTCCTGTGTAACAAAGTGTGATATAGTGTCCGAAGTTGTTGCCATGTCGTACCCGTGCGGTGATAGTCGCAACGATGTCAATATAATAAGTACAATTGACCAGACTTTAGTTTCGTTACTACGTAAGGATATACCGTAGTAAACATGAAATGCCAAAAAATATGCATCTTTTTTCCTTATTCCTATCCTTGCATTGCTTAGTTCATCCCCAAACTTTCGGAAGCGGCATGCAGAGATCTCTTTGATTGTGTTATTCACGTGTGGTTCAATTTGTGCTTAAGGTGATCCCCATTGCTTTAAACTAGCAGTTTATTTCTGGTTGAATGAACCGAGCGTTTCGGCTTGGTAATAGTTTCCGAAAACTCTACAAAATGTTTACTGACTGAACCGTCTATAGTTCTTTGGACCGAAAACACAACTTTTCTACTGTCATTTTACCGGGTAAGAGCCTCTAATACTGCCTGAATGCGACGAGCCGTTTCAAGCTTCGCATTACTACCCTCCACACTACAGTAACTCGCTTAGGTTTTTGAACACAAATAGGTGTCCAACTCTGTGATACCTACACAGGTACTCTTTACTAGCGAAACAATCGTATGCTTGAAATTTGCGTGAACTTTGGATGAAAATATCAGTTCCTCGTCGGCATAAACTGATGTGCACAGTATGAATCAAAATTGTTCCGAGGTAGCCCGATTGACGTTTACCAATCCAGGCGCAAAATTCTACGAGGTATCTTACTAGGTGTGAACACCATTCAGTATACACCTGAATCCGTGTCGCAAGTATAAATGAACAATAATTGTTTCTTGAAATATTAACGAGTGTTGCTGGGGTGCATTGGATTCGTGAATACTCGGAACTTCATGGACATCGATGACAAGGGTTCCAATCGATCATTGAACGTTTCGGTCGTAATTTTCTCTAATGCAAGATGGCTAGTCGTTTAGCGATGACAACCATTTACCAACCCTCAAGTCTTCGAAGCTTCTGTGAGCCTGTGTACTGTACGTCAACTATGTCATTTTGAAGTTTCATCGAATGTGTGCGATAATTTCTTGCCTGTAACGTTGAAAAAGTGACGCAAAATATTGAAAGAGCATAAAAAGAATTTCTCCCCTGTATTTTTCAGAACTGTGTTACACTTTCAAGCGTACCCCGCACCTGTTCGCCCTTGCTTTCGTATACTGTTGGCGAAAAAAGCCTCAAATAGACAAGATTGATGCCTACCTTTGCGGGAACATTCATCGAATGTCTACACACCTCTCCACACACACAAACAGTTCGCGGGCAACGCTTGTCATTTACAGGTAAGCGTACCCGGTATACAATGCTCAATTCGCCAAGACGCGAGGCCGGATTCTGGCGAAAACTTATGTCGAATAAGGTCACGTCACGGGTTTGCTGAAGGGCTCTGAACGGAAGGTCAAAGGACACGTCTGTGGATGCAGATAGTCTGGCTCGTTGAACTGCTAGAAACTTCGGGGACGTGGTAGTGAAAGATTTGGAAGAGAAAGTACGAACGTGACAACAGACGAGGGTGGAAATAGATTGCAGAGAGTGAGATCAAGGGACCACAAAGGCAAAACCGAGAGTGTGAGATGTAACGAGTCTAGGTACCAAGTCGTGTTCTAAGCTCTGGATACCTTTGTGTTAGGGCCTAATGTTCACCTTGATGGGTCAAACGTGCGGAGGGGCCACTGATGCGCCCGAACGAGTGTATCGGCAAGTACTTTAGTCGACTTGTGGTTGCAGCAGTTGGCTCTCCTTTTCCACCTTAAGGGGATTTCCCGTATTGAATTGCACTACTCCGGTTCATCCTATCCGAACTGCTGGTTGAAAGCTACTCGTGTGGGGTTGAAACGTCAAGGACAGGATGTCGGAGTGAAATAATATTATAAATATGAATATACATTACCTTTGAAACATAGGATTACAAATAAATCATCGACAAGCTCGTTTTGTTCAAATTGTAGTCGTTCAGATTCTGACATCCCAGTTGGAGTCTGTGGTCTGCATTGAACCAGACTATTACGCAAAAGGACAGCGTACACCTTCAAAATGAGTGTCACGTACGCGGCTTACCCAAATGGCAGTTGTAAGGGGCACGTTTTTCGTCGCAGCTTCTGCTATGACGCAGTAAGTCGACTAGCTGAATGCTTCTGGGGTGTGAGAATGAACGCGTAAGTTTTCGTCAGATCGAAAGCCCACCGTCTCTGGCTCACATTTGCAAAGTAGAGGAGTACCGTACGCTTCGTACATTGCCAGAACCGTTTTCTGAATGCGCGAATGAAAGGTTTCTCGTTTTTTTTTTTTTCGTGTCGTCTATTAAACGGACACAGATGAGTGCGTGAGAAAGCTGTCTTTACCGACATCGTATATAATGTTTTCCCACGAGTGAATGCAGGCGCCGGCTGACGTTACGGCCGCGTAACTAGGGATTTACGTGTTATTTATTCTGCTCCGAATGAAGGACGCATAGAGAGAACTGGCAGTTTCCGGCATTCACAGAATGATTTGCTTCTTTAATCTTTTTGTTTTTGAAGGCAATGGGAAGGTATGAAACGAGTGCTTTGTACCTCTTTTCGATGTCCACGTCCAGTTTAAGTATGGCCTGAACTCCGCGCCTATAAATTACATAGCAAACCGTTGCTTATTACCGGGAGGTCTCGTTTTGCAAAGGTCAAATTTTCAAGCTCTTTCAAGATATAGGCCAGATGCGCAGTTTGAATTCACCTAATGGCAGGCCGCTTTCATCTCGAAAATAAGCAAATGTTTACTAAAACACGTACAATGTCCAGCAAGCTTGACACGAACGCCCTGCAGCGTGTCCTGAAACAATTAGACGCTAGCATCGCGTACCTTTGAGTCATGCTGCCGAGATGTTACTCGTGTATGTCGAGATACTATCCTAGCATACTATCCAAGATACAGTGCCGAGCGCTTCGCGGCAGGCATCAGTCAAACTAGTCCAGGTAACGCATCGAAGCGCTCGTGTTAGGCTTGCTGACGACTGTGCGTCTTTCCGGTCCAGACTTACACCATATTTTCTAACTTCATGCCTTGCGGAAGCCTCTGTTCAAAGTTTATCGGTCATACGTACCATTCCATTTAATCCCAAGTTTATTGGTAATGTTTGAAAAATCCTCGGTAGGTAAATGAGGATGTGATATCCCGTTTTCAGCCAAATCGTCCGCGAAATTTAAAACATGCCTTGAAGCCTGAAGCGAGGTTGTAAATGAGCAATTTCACATATTAGGCGCATTATAAGGCGGAAAAACCACATGAAGGTAGGCTATCTGTCAACAGTTCGGTTCGCTTTTTCAAACTATACGTAACACTTGCATCGTACTTGCAAGGAACGGGCGAGCATCAAAGTTCTTGCCTTGTGTAAGAACAGTGCTACCCAGAGTTTAATTTACTCATAGTCGACTTATAACCCAGAATGTTGCCACGTGTCCGTTTACCGAGAATTAGGCTCGCGTTACGTGGCCGGCTGTGCGCTAAACACTTTTTTTCGTTGGGTCGAGATATGCAGATGGTCGTTTCACTTGTCTGTTTTGTACGCTTATGGTGCGAAAACTGCATTTGAACAGAGCCAAACAGAATATTCAGGTACAGTGCTGTTTTAGTTCCTTAATTTTAGGTACGTTATTTTGAGCTTTACAAGCTGCAGCACTTGAGATTTGTCGTTTTGCAAGGGACATCGAACAACGTGTCGATATCCTTTCCTCTGAACGCCTGTCACGCTGGTACCGACTGTGTACAAGGTGTAATGGCGGTCACGCAGCTGCATGCATCAGGTCTCAAAGTGTGTGATAGTTCGCAGGGGTCTTTCGCAGAGTGCTTCAAATGCTCTTTTGAAAAGTTTAGTGTCACCTCATGTATAGGAATATCACTGTCGAGTGTTCATTTGCTTGATGTGTCATGTCGTTTGTAATTTGAATTTTCGTTGTGTTTATATGGACAGCTGCATCTCACTTTCTTCTCACTACGCTTTCAAAAAGAGATCCTCCCAGTTTCATTCAGAATTGTACCTTCTACTTCGTTAGAAAATAATTGAGCCACTATATGCTTGTTGTAGTGGGAAAGCGTCTAAGACAACGCTGATCTAAACACCATCTTTGCATGTACATACGAAAGCTGAATATTTGACGAGTGTTCGCCATGTATCGAAGTCGCCCGCATTCATTTGCGGTGGCACTGTACATATATATCTTATTCAGTGCGTGAATGTGTATATGTAATATGTACGCACATATTACAATATAAAGTGGATTTAAAATATTATCCTTGTTGTGTTTTTCTTCTTCCTTAACAAGCCTATATTCACGACGTCGAGAGAAAAGTCACAGCTTTGCCGCAAAGGTGAAGCAGTAAACGCGATAGCAACAAATTGGAAGGTCACGCGCAAAATTGCAAGTAGATCGAAATGTGCCTCTCGCTTCTCACACACAACTGATGCACGAAACATACTCACCAGTACAGATGAACGTAAATAAGCGTCTCAGTTACTTCGCTGCGTCTGAAAAGAGTGCCGTTTTCACAAACGGAGATTGTGCAATTATTGCAGTCACCTTTGTGTGCACGGTAACTACAACAATCGTTCCGGTAAAAGCCCAAGGCCAGCCAAGACGTGCGACTTGCCCCCACCACCACATGTGCGCACGCGCGAGCTCCACCCTGCCCCCTCTCCACGGGGCAAAGTACGCGTGGTAGAGGACAGCGCGTGTCGCCGCGTCGTAACGATGTGGTGACGTGCGCTCAAAGCGTCATCTTGCTGGTAATACTGAAAACAGGCAAGTTCCCCCGAGATGCCGGTCACCAGTGGTAAGTAGTAAATATAAATAGCTTGCCGTTTGAATGTTGGACAAGGTGCTTCTTTGTGGCTCAGTGGCTAATGCTTCGCGATCCCAAAGCAGAGGTCCCACGTTCGATTCCACGTGCCCGAGTCTTTTTCTGGATTAATTTTTCTTACGTTTTCATATATGTAGATACGTACACATATACGGTGAGTGACAACGACGCCAACGTAGACGCCAACGCCAGCGGCAAAATTCAGCCGAGAGAGTCCATATACATTGTGGAATATATTTTACAGCGCAACTGGTTAGATACGGACAGAGAAGGAATACAGTGCTGAACTCTCAATTGAAATTT